GAGGTACACTGATGGCTTTGCACTCACATCCCTGGAACACAAACCTTTAATATCAATAGAACCCCTTTGGAGCCCAAGCCAGGCTTGAAATCACCACATAATGCCAAGGTTATGAAGAATGGGAGAGAATCTTCATGTGCTTTCTGCATGTGCCTTCACTGTTACCTGGACAGTATATTTGCATACACCCAGAGTATTCCACAGCTTGATGGTTTTATCTCGGGAGCCAGAGACAATTTGGCGGTTGTCGGAGGAGAAAGCCACACTCAGCACATCCTTGGTATGTCCTACAAATCTGCGTGTGGTGGTACCCCTAAGGAAGAGGACTTGGTCAGTCTCTAGACTCTGCAAACATTCTTCCACATCAGACTGTTTCCCTGGCCTTCCCTGGTCTTACTGGAGCTGCCATTACTCACATGACCCTGGACATGGGTCTGATCACAACATGGTTGAGCATATGCCAGAGAATCCCTTCAGAATTGCAGGACATGTCCTCACTCCCACATGGGGATTGGCTGACAATGTCATCTGTCATCACTAGGATCCTCCATTATGCCTGACCATCCAAAGACTGAGCTCCCAAGATAAAACATGTTCAAACCCTTGCCTACTCTCAACCACAGTATGTGGCAAAACTGCTCAACCAGCCCACTCTGAAGCAACTCTGCGAAAGTAATTAAAAGCAGCAAGGATGGAAGCCAAGCAACCCAACTATCTTCTCTATGTATGCCCTGCCTTACAGTTCCCACAATGAACCTCACTGTCCTTTGGAAAACACCTCCCAACAGCATCTACCTCATTTCTGCCCAGCTTTTTCCCAGTGCCCCACAGTTAAATGAGCAGCTACTTGCGTTGTGAGATCCCAAAGACGAAGGGTTCCATCCCAGGAGCCTGAGAGGGCAAACTGGCCATCTGAGGAGATGACCACGTCACTAACGAAGTGGGAATGACCCCGAAGAGCACGCTGTGGGATGCCATAATTGGTCTCATCCCTGGTCAGCTTCCACATGATGATAGTCTTATCTAAGGGGAGGTAACACAGAAAATCCAGTGAGGAATCCCACAGCCCACTCACTGACCTACTGGATAATCCAGGATCCCTCAAGGTCATTGGTGGATTTACAAGAAATTAAGGACACTCCAGGGGGGAGGGGACCCCCAAGCCGAGAGTGCTGTCATTAGTCAAAGCTAAGTGATTCATTATTCTAAAAAAAAGTCAAGTAGAAATAAGCAACGCCACTAGAATTAAACTTAGGTGTGGAGGCCTTTAGCGGATTATGGATGCCTTTTTGTGACATTCGTAACAGTCCAATGTCTGAATCTTATTCTGAGGTCTAATACATAAACACTGCTGCTTGGGTGTGGGAAGACTGAATATGGGCTTCCTACAACTACCACTGAGGATGCCAGAAGTACTGGATTTAGTTGATTTACACACTACAAGGCTGGAAGCTTTCACTGAAAGGTGTTGGACTCGACACGCTTTCCGATTATGCGTCACACATGATCCTAACCTCAGACTGTTTTTAATAGCGTGGGGGCAAACAACAGCGTGTTCATTCAAACAAGAGAATGACAAGAAAAAAAAGGCAGAAAAGACAAGACACGGGCTTGCAAGGAGATTGGCGTCAGGACTCCCCTTGGGAGTCCATCCAGGAAAAACTAGGCACAGGGCCGGGCGGCAGCTCAGAAACAGCCTCTGGGTCTCAGCATGGGCACTCAGATGGCATGTTGGGGTCATCACCGCCCCGCCCGACTCGTATAGGCTCTTGCACACGTAGCCACATCTGCGAGGAGGCGGGCAAGAAATAAAACCCCAATCCTGCAATCCTAGCAGCCACGAGCTGATCTAGGTCTCGGCCTTTGCAAAGTGGAAAATGCCTCACGGGCTTATCCAGGCTGAGACTTAGGCCCGGGTCCGCATGCCCCACCTCGCAGGCGGACGGAGTTTTCCGGGCCGCCAACTCGCGATCCACTGGAAACAACAGGAGACACGCGCAACCCACTTATCTTTCAACCCCTTGCCCCGCACCTCAGCCCGTACCTCGAGAAGCGGACAGTATCATGTCCGGGAACTGGGGGGTGGTGGCGATCTGAGTCACCCAGCCGTTGTGGCCCTTGAGGGTGCCACGAAGTGTCATCTGCTCAGTCATGGCGGCGGGGAGTGCGGGTGTCGCCGGGGCGACAAGGATGGAGTTGGATAACTCAAAGACTAGCACCACAGCCGCTCGCACCGCGGCTCTGCAGAGGAAAAGAGAGAGAAGGAACCCCACCGGAACCGGAAATACCCGTCCTCTCCAACAAAATGGCGGCCCCCATGATTCATTTCTGCTTAAGATGGCGGCGCCAGGCGGGGCATAGGGACAGGTGAAATGATAACACTTCATGGTCCCCTTCCGCCACGCATTATAGTTTAGCAGTGCCATACAAAAACATTCTGAAACCAACTCGGTCAAGTGTTTTAAAGAACCCATCAAACGTTCACTGGGGCGTGATGTCTAAGAAGCCGAAGAGGGGAAGTGCACGGCACATTCCCGTCAGGATCGCCCAGCACCTTTGGTATTCCCACGTGGCACAGCCCGAGCCCCGCCCTTTCCGCAGGGTGGCTCGGAGGGCAAAGCTGAGGGAGCTTAATTTCTGGGTGAGAACTGCAAGTAATGGTAAGCGATATGAAAAATATGGTATTAAATTTTTTTAAATACACTGTGCTCAGGTGAATTATTAAACCCTAACAGACTTCTGTCTCAGAGGGCAGCTCTTTCATCAAGAGGTTTTTGCTGGGGAATTGGCTGAGGCACTCCCTGTTCGGAAGGGCTTAGTCCAGGCAGGAGTTAAAACGAAAATGGGTTACGGTGCGGAAAAGCGGGAAGGAACGAAAAATCGGTCCGTGGGCCGCTTATCGGTCACCGAGCTCTCGTCTAGGCAGGAGTGCAGAGAGCCGTCATAGAAACTGAACGGCCGCGAGAGGAAAGGCCTCCGGGTTCTGAATTCTGGGGACTCGGGTCCAAAGCCGCTCTGGGCCTAACCACCTCACAGGCCGGCTGGGGGGTCCAGGCGTGCCCCCAAGGAGGTGTCCTCAGACTGGGAAGCAGTGGAACATGGTTGCCTGGCTGGCTACCGCCCTCCCATTTAACCTCCTGGTATGTGAGCCCGCTATGGCACATTCTTGAAATTAAGATATGATGCTGGCTGGCAGCGCCTCTCTCAAGTATTTTTAATTTTATTTTTTTAAAGTTTATTTATTTTAAGAGAGAGAGGAAGGTGCACATGAACGGGGGTGGGGGCAGAGAGAGAAGGAGAGAGGATATTCAGGCAGGCTCCATGCTCTCTGCAGAACGCTGGACACTGGGATCGAACTCACTAATCCTGAGATCATGACCTGAATCAAAATCCAGATTCAGATGCTTAACTGACTGAGCCACCCAGGTGCCCCTCAAATATTTTTTAAATGGGGGAGGGGGGGTTGCACAGACCAGGATGATAGCAGTGACTATCATTTATGCAAAATAAGGGGGGATTATACATAAATATTTTGTTTGTAATGTGTATTATTTTTAGTTTCACATCTGTAAAATGAGGTTGGAAACAATAGTATCAGCCTAAAACGGTGTTGAGGAGAGTAAGTGAGTTAGGTAAAGCACCCAGGGACGCCTTGGTGGCTCAGTCAGTTAATCGACCGATTCTGGATTTTGGCCCAGGTCATGATCTCACAGTTAGTGAGTTCGAACCCCATGTCCAGCTTTGCGCAGAGAGCATGGAGCCAGCTTGGGATTCTGTCCTCTCTCTGCCTCTCCCCTGCTTGTGCTCTATCTCTATCAACCAATCAATCAGTCAGTCAATAAATGTAAAGCTGCCCAGAATGGTGCCTGGCAGAGTAAATGCAGGCAAACTTAGCATTTCTTTGGTACCAGTTCCTGTTTTAGGTGTTGGGGGGAATACACCTGTGAGCCAAGACGGTGGGGACCTGTTTTTTGTTTTGTTTTGTTTTGTTTTGGTTTGGTTTACATTTGATGGGGTGAGTGGAACGGAGATTGAGAGAGAGATTGGAGCAAAGAGAGGAAGAAGTAGGATACAGCCCTGTGGCTATATGGAAAGTTAATGTTCCAATAAGGGAAAGTATGTGGGAGGAAATGTAGTTGGAGAGACAGTCAGTGCAAAAGTTTTGAACTGGATTGTTGCAGGTGCTGAAACTCAAACCGTGAGATGGAGGTAAGGGGCAATTGACAAGAGGGCCAGCAGGCTTGGGGAAGAATCATGGCTCTTCAGGACACTGTCCTGACTGTGCTTCAAGGGTCCCAGTCACGTATGTCACCCGCCACCATAGCACCCCCAATTAGCTGTCTTCTTGCTTTTCCAACACTATAGTCCAACTCGACTTCGACCCATGTATTTTGTTTCTCCTCTGGTCGTGGGAGACTCTTACCTTCACCCACACCAATATCCAGCTTGCTGTTCATAACTGGGGTCATGCCAAGTGCCCTGGGCACTTGGCACAAATGGAGAGGTGAGAGATTCCACGCATCATCTAGTAGAGATGCTCAACGCAAGCACTCCCCTGGCTGTTGACCTGTATATGCAGAGGATTTCCTCTCAGTTCAAGAACACGAGTTCTTCGTCTCCTATCTCCACTCCCTAAAGAGATCATTGCTCAGTCACTTTATGTTTACTCGCCTGGAGAAATATCATTTGGCTCTCAGTTTTCTTGAATTTTGACAGGGAGCTGCTGTGGAATCAGCATCCCTGAGGCAAGGCCAAGGGTGCAGGTTTAAAACGAGCCTTCCAGGTCTTACACATGCTCAAGAACGATGCTTCTAGGCATCTCTCAGTTCCTTTCCAGAAGAGGGTGGTTCCCAGGCTAGCCTTGCCCTCCCCCAGTCCCATCTTTGGCTGGCCCCTTCACGGAGTCCTCCCTGCCGCCTACCGAGCTCGAGCTCGAAATTTCTGGAAGTGCCCTTGACCTCCCCTAATTCCGTGGGCCTCTTCGTACGCCAGCTCCTTGCTCTGTAAGAGGATTGTGTTAGCGCCCCATCCTATGCGGCCAAAGGGGGAGGGTAATTCGCGTTTTCTCCTGGAGCCTATTAGTACCGGTCTGGCAATGCCAGAGGAGAAGGAGAAATGGAATGTAGTGGACTTCCCCGGACGACCAGATTACAGGTTTTGGGCTTTCCACCTCCAGACTGGAGTTTACCTCCAGTTACTGCCTGGCCTCCTGGCAAGCCACAAAGTCATTGAAGAGCATTCCTGAACCGAGGGAGGCATGGCCCCGACTCTGGGTGTAGCGAGGGGCAGGAAGGAGGGTGCAGCGGCAGCCTTTCCTTCTCAGCCCCAGCTGGAGTTGAGCCCCATACACACCTGCTTCCCTCTGGGTCCCCATGGTTCCCTGTTAGGCATATGGGCTCACCTGGACTCCTCATACCTCAAGCCCTGCCCCTTCCAGTGGGATGACTCCCCTTGGCTACAGGATGCACAGTTCCCACAACGGGTCTATTGTGGCCGGCCTTTTCATTCCAGATGTCTTTGATCTGGCCTCTAGGAGGTGGAAGTCTGCTGGAGGGCCCCACCTGGCCTTTGGGAGAATTTCTCTGCAGAGCCTTCTTTCTGCTCCTCAGGCTGCCCCTCCTGAAGGGTTCCCCACCCACTTCTAGTCCCAGTCCCTGGGCTGCTCCCTTGTCTCCCACATCCTCACTGGCACCACTTCCTTTCCCACACAAGGTAAGCATCCTAAGGGAGAAATTGGAGATGCTCTTTTAAGGAAGTCTGTCTTTTCTGCTGGGCATTCCTAAGACTCATACAGCTGGGAGAAGCCCCTCTGGTTTCCCTGCTAGAGGTCCATAGCCTCTCTTTTAGGAACAGACCTCCATTCCCTCCTGTCAGCATTCAGGAGGTGAGACAGGTCTTCCCTTGAATGTGGTGGTGATGACTATTGTGGGTGATAGGTGAAGGGCTGAGGGAAAAGGATGTGGCCAAGGCCAGAGGGCCCACTGCCAGCTAAAGCGGATGACTTCCCTTCATTCTGTTTCTTGGCAGTTTCAGTGTGGTTGGCTCTGGCCCATACTTACTTTTTTTTTTTTTTTTTTTTTAATTTTTAATGTTTATTTATTTTTGGGAGACAGAGAGATAGAGTGCAGGAGGGGCAGAGAGAGAGGGAGACACAGAATCCAAAGCAGGCTCCAGGCCCCAAGCTGTCAGCACAGAGCCTGATGCGGGGCTTGAACCCACAAACCGTGGGATCATGACCTGGGCTGAAGTCGGACACTCAACTGACTAAGCCACCCAGGTACCCCTGGCCCATACTCCTTTTGTGGGTACACTGTCTCTCCCCTGCTCCTCCCAACTATCAGTTCTCTCCTACACAGAACACACACCTTGTTCTGCCGGGAAGGCCCACCATATTCCATCTCCACTGTTCTTTTCTTTCTTTTTTTAATGTTTATTCATTTTTGAGGGAGAGAGAGACAAACTGTGGGCAGGGGAGGGGCAGAGAGAAAGAGAAACACAGAATCTGAAGCAGGCTCCAGGCTCCAAGCTGTCAGCACAGAGCCCAACAGGGGGCTCGAACTCACCAACCACAAATCATGAACTGAGTTGAAGTTGGATGCTTAACCGACGGAGCCACCCAGGCACCCCTCACCCCCACTTTTCTTAATCTAAGCTTCCTTCAGGTCTCAACTCAGGTTGCCACCCCAGAGAAACCCTCTGTGACCCTCAAGTCTAAGTTAGGCTTCTGGTTTCATACCCTCATAGTGATGGTGTGCTGGGCCTTCATAGCCCTTAGCTCAGTTTCCCCTTATTTGAATCCCTCAGGGATTTTCTCAGTGCCCTGAGGTCAGGGACTGGTCTGTTTGGGCTCATATGCTGCATTTGCTGGTAGAGGGTTTGGTTGTAGAAGATTCCAATCTTGGTAACTAGCTTCACAGGCTAAGTAGTTAAGGGCAAGTAGTTAAAGGGTGTTCCAGGCAGAGGGATCACCATGGGGAGGGGTTAGAGTGTTTGCATGCAGAAGTTTTGGAGGGATGGTTTCAAATGGGAAGGTAGGAGAGAGTGAAACCCAAGGTGGCCAGAGAGCCTCTATCAGGAAGGAGTTGACTACTAAGGAATCTGGATTTGTCTTGAGGCCTAGGTCTTTCTCTTTAGGATTATCTCATCCCTCTCCTGCCTAGACTTGATTTTGTTGTAAAGTGTTTGGTCTCAGAATGGAGGGTAGGTTGAAGGTTGAAGGAAGACTAGAAACGACAAGAGTTCAGAAGTCACACAAGGGGGTTTGTAGGAGGGTCATGAGAGTCCTATGAAAGGAGAGACTGAGTGAGGACTTACCAATGGCCTTATGATGAGGGATTCAACATGTCTAATCCATCTGTCTCCTCCCTACCCCACCTTCTTCACTCCAGTATCTAGAATTGGGCTCTGATTATAGAAACTAATTCATGATTGAGGCCTAAAGAATTAAGCTGAAAAAGATTAGAAAGAAACATGGCAAGTTCTGTTCTTATTGTAGGTTCTATTGCCTTCTTCCTGGTGAGAGGCAGGGATATGTTATTAAGTCAAAGCCAGGAAGAGATCTTGCAAAAAATCACATATCATTTCCTTATGTCTCTGGATAAATATTCATTGCCCATCTTAGGCAGAAATCTGAAATCTAATAGTGAAAGCTGCTAAGGCATTCTGTTGGGTTTTCCCTGGGAGAGGGACTGTGGGTTCTCCAGGCCCTAGGTACTTCAGCAGATGTACAGCGAGAGGCTGTGGAAGTGGGTGTGGTCCAGGCAGGTGACTACAGGCCAGGTAGAATTATAAGACATGCTAGGAGAAGGCAAACCTCTGGCTTGTTAAAGGATTTAAAACAACATTAGGTGGTAGGAAGAAACAAAAGATGACCCAAGGTGCCTTTTTTCAGCTTTCTCCTGGAAGACAATTTCATATGAACTAGGGTTGGGAAGGTATGTTAAAATGGAACCTTAAGACTGGCTAGCTTACCACACTGTAAGAGGGCTGAAGAGAAAACAGTTCTTTCTACTCACACTTGGATTAAATAGCCAGAGCTTGCTGAGAAATTCCATCCTTTGCTGGAGAGGGTAGACAGGGGATTCTATCTGATTAGGAAATGGCAGACAAAAAAGGGCAGGACCCCTAGGGGTCTTCTTCCAGGTGACCTGGGTCCTTCATCTTTGTGGGGCCCTGCTTCATACCAGGTGGAATAGTCAATGAGAAGTCTCTGACCAACTCTGCTGAGTCCTTTAGGATGGGGTAAAAGACTGGGAAGGCCTAAGCATGATCCTCAGTAGCTATGGAAGAATAAGCCTCAGTAGCTATGGAAGAATAAGACCTATTCTTTAAGGCTATTTCTAGCTCAAATCTCTGAGGTATCCATTTTCCTGCTTCTTTGGAAGGGATAGAAGTGGGGAGAAGAGTAGTAACTTAGCGGCCCATTTCCTTCCTTCTTTGCTGGTCTCCTGTCACAGCTCCTACACTTCTCACATTGTAAGATGAGCTATTTCCCTATGCCTGGGGTTCTCATACTATACTTCTGAGGACTCTGGTTTGTGGGCAAAGACTATATAATTAAAAGTTAAATTTGTCACCACTTTTAGCTCTCCTCCTTTTCAGCCCTGTTATTCCTAAAACCTCTCACTTCCTCTTTTCTTATTTAGCACTGCCAGCACAAACTGCTTTCCCTTCTAGGACTCCATGATCTCCTTACCACTCTCTGTCAGGATTTAGGTGTGAGAGGAAAAAGGGAAGAACCCACTTACCTACTTTAATGCTAGGTTTTGCCCCACATCCCATTTTCAAAAAGTCAGGCACCAAATAAAACCTTATTTATACTTCTTTCCCCTCCTATTTTGAGGCCCCAGCTTTGGCTTTTTTGGGGAAGAGGGTAATGCAGTTTCTTTTTTAGCTGCCTTCCCATTAGAGTTCCTTATCACATTTCTCACATGTGATCCACATGAATCACAAGTGGAACTGTTCAAGGTTGTTTTAGTCAGATTTAAAAAAAAAAATGTAAGAAGGCCTTTATTTATTTATTTTAATGTTATTTATTTTTGAGAGAGAAAGAGCGTGAGCAGGAGAGGGGTAGAGAGAGAGAGGGAGACACAGAATCTGAAGCAGGCTCCAGGCTCTGAGCTGTCGGCACAGAGCCTGATGTGGGGCTCGTACTCACAAACTAAAAGATCATGACCAGAGCCAAAGTCGGATGCTCAACTGACTGAGCCACTTTCTTTTATGTATTTGCTTCTGTGCCAAAAAATATCACCTTTGAGCCTGCCTCTTCTGATGGGGAAAAGAAAGTTGTCTCATTTCTTTTTCATCTTTCCTTTGGACTTGCCTCTATTCCTGAGTCCTAGGAAGGACCAGAATTCAACATGCCTTCTTTCTATAGAACTATACAATTCAATATAACTTGATAGCCACTAGTGGCTATTTCAAATTAATTAAAATTAAATACAATTAAAAATTCAGTTCCTGAGTTGCACTAGACACATTTCAAGAGCTTAAGTCATATGTAGCTACTATATCAAATAGCATAGATTTAGAATACTTCCATTGTTGCAAAGTTCTTTCAGAACTGGTATAACAGCCTAATGTCTTGTGTCCCCCTTTTTGTAATCTTTTATCAGTCAATAAATATTTGTAATAACTTTCAGTGTTCCAGGATTAACTTTCAGAGGGGGTCAGGAGTTGGGGGTGGGACATAGCATAGAATCTGTAGGTCCTATAAAGATTTCTGGAGGCATGGCATAGGGGCCAGAGGTTGGTGGCTAGTAGAGGAGACTCAGGTTTTAAGGAAGTGCTTTAGGGGTTGACGTTATACTTATTAAAGCAGGGCCACCCCACTCCACCAGGAGCAGGCAGGCTCTGGTTTTGCAAATTCTGCATAATACTTAAAAATCAAAACAAAAAATGACTGCCCTGTAGCCCTGCTGAAGTGATTGTCTTTTATTACTCATCATTTCTAGATCTTGATTTCATACACTGCTTTATCTGTCATAGGCCTTGTTCTCCCAAATGGCAGTGACATATGCAGCTCTGGCTTAAAAAAAAAGTTTGCTGGGGTGCCTGAGTGGCTCAGTCGGTTGACCGTCCGACTTCGTCTCAGGTCATGATGATCTTGCACTCCGTGAGTTCGGGCCCTGTGTTAGGCTCTGTGCTGACAGCTCAGAGCCTGGAGCCTGCTTCGAATTCTGGGTCTCCCTCTCTCTCTGCCTCTCCCCCACTCATGCTCTGTCTCTTTCTCTCTCTCTGTCAAAAATAAACAAACATTAAAAAAAATTTTTTTTTTTAAAGTTTGCTGACTTTACCACCTGCCTGCCAAGAGCTGGGAGAAGTAGGGGTCATATCAATTAATACACTGATGCTAAGACCGTTTAATAAGATTCTAGGTAGGTGGAGCTATTTTTCCATTGAACACTTTTTTTAAAAAGATAATATTAATTTAAATTTAATTTTACAGAGCACAAGCAAGCAGGGGAAGGGCATAGAGAGCAGGGGACAGAGGATCCAAAACGGGCTCTGTGCTGACAGCAGACAGCCTGATATGGCGCTTAAACTCACAAACCATGAGATCATGACCTGAGCCAATGTCAGATGCTGACTGAGTCATCCTGGTGCCCCACTGAACACTTTTAAACACCTATGTCAATCACTGGCTATAGGGCATAAGTAAAGCTGGTAATGGCACATCTGTGGATTTGACCACTTTCCCTGAGTCTAGACCAATGATTCTTAACCATGGATGATTTTGCTCCTGTCACCCCTCTCCATAAGACATTTGGAAATGTTGGGAGACATTTGTGGTTGCCACAGCTGATGGAGGGGTGCTACTTACATCTGGTGGGTAGAGTCCAGGGAATGCTCCTAGGCATCCTATAATGCACAGGACAGCCCCAACCTGCAAAGAATTCTCTTATTCAAAATGTCATTAGTGCTGAGGTTGAGAAACGCTGGTCTAGACTACAGTGTGGATCCGTTCTTCATGCCAAGACTAATCATGAGGTCCAGGCTCAGCAAGAATCTATTAAATTGGGAAAGAAAAAAATTAGGAGTCAGTGAACTGTGGCCTCCACAAAACTGAAGAGCAGGTATAACTAGAGTGTGTTTAACTGCATTAGGAGGCAAAGAGCTAAGGTCATAGTGCAGTTTAAAGTGAGGGTTTCAGACATGTAGCAAGTCTGTAAAGATGAGGTCCCAGGTACAACCATAGGAGTAGTGAGGACCAAGTTTAAACAGTCTAACTTCTGATACAACAGTCAATAGCTGAACCTAGTAGGGAAAACATTCAATAAATAGATGAATATCTGGTGAATATGGATATACCAGTTTTTCCTCAATGTTTTTGGAACTCATAGCTCTACTTTTCATATACATAAAAATTTCACATTTTCCCTCCAGTGTTATTTAAAATTTCACAAGTATCATGACTAAAAATCAAAGCAAGGGTAATTTTGGAAGGCAAAAATTTATTCAGATGATGTGATAACTATGTCACTGTTAAAAGCCTTATCTTTCTTGGGTGGTGTAGAAGATATAACAAAACACAAGCTGCTTTAACAATACTCTTGTACTGTTTTCTCCCCACAGCTAGATATACTCCACCCGCCCCCCCCAAAAAAGCTTTTAAGATGTAAAGAGAAAATGGAATAACAAATGGAACAAAGTCTTCACATATGCTTAGACATTTTATATCCCAATTTCTCTAGAGTATTTATCTGGAAGTTTCTAGTCAAAACAAACAGACTTAAAGTTCCACATACTCCTCTTAAAGGAATTGAACCAACCAACAGTTGAAAACATTCTTTATAAAAGCGACCCCAGGTAGGTTTTAAGAACAAGGTCAAGAACAATCACCCAAAATAGTTATGGATATTTCATATTTTTGTCTTGAAATAACATTCAGAAATCTAGTCCTTGAAAGATTGGCCAAGCAAGTTAGACATTTTTAGCATGAGTTTGCTATGTGTAGCTGGATTTTTGGCAAGTTTTGCTTAAAGTATTTCATAATGAGAGTGATGTTGGTGTTTGCCTTTTGACATTTCAGGGTCAATGTATTTTAAGCTTCAATGCATTACATTCTGTCAAAAGTTTTAATTTTTGAAATTTTAAAGAACAAATTCTCTTTAGATGGTGTTCCAAAATCAGAGGGTTATTTTGTCATTGGTGTTTCAAAATTAGTTCTGTCCATAAATTCAGCTGAGTACAGTTCTTTGACAACCAAGGAACCTTAGTACGTAAGAGAAAACACTCTCAATGGCATTCTGAACAGATCTTCAAAAATCAAGGCAAACTGGGATCAAATCTACTGTTTTTCACAAGGGTTATGCTGACAGCAAGGTGAAGATTTCCAGTAGATTATGGGCCAATCAATGGAAGTGGATGCTTGGTGGGGATTGCTACAGTACATCTTACACACAGTTTTCTTCAGTTCTTGCCAAAAACCCAGATTTAGAACATTCCATTGCTGTAGCACCACCAAGTATACTCGTATAATTTTCTTCCAACTCAGTTCATTTGATACAGCTTCAAAAATACTGTTTTTAGTGGTCAAGTATTACGTTTATGAAACCACCACATCCACAGTTTTTAAAGCTTTATTTTTAAACATAAGCAAAGCACACTTTTTTTTTTTTCAGTAGATTCATCTCAACAGCAAAGAAAGATGAGCTGAAGTTTTTAAAACCTGAAGTTTGATATGTTCAGTCATTATTTCAGAGTTAAGACTGTAGAAGTAGATGAAGAAAGTCTGGAATTCCTCAATTTCCTCTCAAAGTTGTGGCAGCACTTGGAATGCAAGGCTTCACAAATTTCTTCATTTTTTTCTCCTTTGCAATTAAAAGGGCTATTTAATATTATGCTTTCATAGCTTTTGGAAGATTGCTGTTAATATTCCAATACTGTCCAATCTTAAAGCTTCAGAGAACTGTGCTTTGCAGAATACTCCACTGTTTTTTTTTTTGTTTTTTTTTTTTAATTTTTTTTTCAACATTTATTTATTTTTGGGACAGAGAGAGACAGAGCATGAACAGGCGAGGGGCAGAGAGAGAGGGAGACACAGAATCGGAAACAGGCTCCAGGCTCTGAGCCATCAGCCCAGAGCCCGACGTGGGGCTCGAACTCACAGACCGCGAGATCGTGACCTGGCTGAAGTCGGACGCTTAACCGACTGTGCCACCCAGGCGCCCCAATACTCCCCTGTTTTTAATGGCATAAATTTAACAGTGTTTGGCATTGTGTCACTGCCCAACATTGTCAGGTAACTGGTAACTCAACTGAAGAAGATGACCCTATCTTCTGCATCATAAGGTGAATAAAAGCCTCAAATAACTTTTTGGCTGCCATCTTTAGCTACCTCAAAGGAGAAAACAGAAAAAGGAGTACTGATGAAGGAAGCATCTGGTCCCTCTTGCAGAAGGATGAATGATTTTATTGGCGGCAGCTGGGTGGCAGGGCAATACAGGCACCCAGTTGTGCCTGAACCCCAACAAGTGAAATCTTTGTTCATTTCCTTTTTATACACCCATCTGCCGCCTAAAACCTGACACCATTTAATGGTGCCCTTGGTCAAATCTAAATGCTTTTACTTTCATAATCCTCTGATTCTATCTTGAAGAGTCAAGATGAACTCTAACTCATGGGATGGACAAAATGGAAGATGTAAATAAGTAAGCTTTTCAGAGCTAAAAAGCCTCTTTTTATACAAAATTAAACTTTAAAAGTACATTGACCTCGAAACAATATAATTGTCTTGGATATGCAAGAAAAATAGCAGTATAAATATTTAGCATCATACCCACAATGAACATCTGTGGCTACCCAACCTGTTCATATGCCTCATTAATTATAGGCCTTACTCTGAATGTTTCTTGTTCTATCTTTGTATTCCCACCAGCCAAGGAGTTCTTTTATAAATTATAACATTCCCCATATGTGCAATGCTAATATAACTTGTGGAGGGAGAGAGAAAGCCTTTCTCTCCTATTCCTGAAAAATCACTGACCTATTCCTTGAGTCTATGAGTAATAACTCCCTACTCAGTCCCTAAAACTAAAAAGTTTGATCAGCTTCAAAGTAGGTTAAAAAAATGTGTTGAAGTGGTAGCTGACAAGAATTCACTGTAACCAGAACTGTGTGATGGATAATGCATAATATGAAATAAACCTTTATACAAAAATAGTTCCTTATAATGTTACCTATCATGAGAGTTTTCAGTAAAATTGTAAATTATGCTGCTGGTATATGTTGACCAATGAAAGACAGTAACGAAACTACATTACCAATTACTAAAAGTTTATACATACATAAAATAAAAGTTTTTAACATCTTCATTGTGATTCCTATGTTTGGCAGTACCATCTACTTAAATTCTGGTATGTGTTTGAAAATAAAAGTTTTATTTTCTTTTAAATATTCTATATTTTGAAAGGAATTATCCCCAATTTGTTTAACTTGGTTTTGCTGTTTATGTTTTACTGGTATGTTTTATAAATAATTCAAGTTTCAAGTGAGTGTTATCTGGCTTCCCTAGTTGAAAAGACCATCTCTTTTAACTTTCAGTGAAAATTGTGGTTTCAAAATCCTTACAGAAAATTCTAGCAGAGGAATGAAAGGTTACCTTCTTTCCTCAGGTTCACTGTACTAAAAACCAGAAGTATAGGACAGAGTTTCTTCTGGAGGCAAACTTTATTACCCTGGGGGAAAGCATGGTGCTAGGGTTGTCCTTAAAGTCAGGTTTGTATGATGAAATTAGCAGTCATTTGTAGTTAAGATTGTAGTGTCTCACTGTGCACTTACCAGTAACCAAATGGAAGGGTGATGATAATAGCTAATGTATGATGCCTTAGGACAACGTTTGTGTTTTGACTGCAACCCAGAGTAAGCAATACGTTTTACTGTGAGACCAGGTATACACAGGTGTACATATAATTTAAAGCTTTCATAAGACAATGTTTACCTTACTATGTTCCATGAACCCTGATATTTTCTGTTTAATTTTATTTTTTTATTTTTATTTATTTATTTTTTTTAATTTTTTTTTCAACGTTTTTAATTTATTTTTGGGACAGAGAGAGACAGAGCATGAACGGGGGAGGGGCAGAGAGAGAGGGAGACACAGAATCGGAAACAGGCTCCAGGCTCCGAGCCATCAGCCCAGAGCCCGACACGGGGCTCGAACTCACGGACCGTGAGATCGTGACCTGGCTGAAGTCGGACGCCTAACCGACTGCGCCACCCAGGCACCCCTCTGTTTAATTTTAAAATAATGCTGGGCATGACACATTTATTTTAAGACCCACTAATTGGTCAAAATCCACAACTGGAAAACCACTGCTGTAGGAGAACATGAGGAAATAGATTTTACAAACTGTAAAGCACACTGAGATGTGAGCAGCTGCTAATGAATATCCAAGATAAGACTTTTGGGGCCTGAGATATCCTCTCCTTCCTTGGGTACTGCTAGAAGTCACATTCACCTAGGCTTTTGGTAAGGAAGACATTATTTATGTGGTCATTGAGATAACTCTCTACTACTCAGGTCAGGAAAGCAATGTATTAACTAAATCAGAACCCAAAGCAAAGACAAATTACAGGAAAATCAAATAAAAGCAAACATCTGTTTAGATGGTTTATAAAACCATGGTTTTATAAAAAACTTCATGGTTTATAAAAAACTTTCACATACGTGGTCTCTTTTAATTTTAACAAGCCTAGGGGAAAAGTAAAGGTAAGAGATGGAGACCTGCCCAAGTTTAGACAGTAAGTGGCAGAGCCAGGTCATCTCATCCTAAATCCCTCACTCCTTTCATGATAAAATACCAGGAAAGGAGAGTGATTAAGGACATGAGACTTCTTTTGATCCATCATAAAGATGTTTATGTCCTCTGCCTCTCTCTACAGGGAAAACAGACCCCACTGAAGGTGAGGAAGCAACCTCAGATTTTGGGAAGGGGGTATGGCCTGTTGCACTTAGTCTATGACTCCTACCTGGCGTTTCAGCCTACCAAAACCAGCAATGTTTGTGTGTGTTTCCCCAGTCATCTGTTTTGACACTGCTTGTGCTCTGAGGTTTCAAATGTCTATTATGGTTCAAGTACTTGATGGCTTTCCATTCCTATGTGTTAAGGGTCTTGGAGTCTTGGTCAGGTACACCCTCAGTACTCAACAGAGTGAAATTTGGTACTAGGGACATGCCACTGATACTCAGATTGAAAGGGAATAACAACAGTGGTCAGCTTTGGTGCCTCTGCTCAGCTTCCTTTGGGGAAGCCAATCAGCCTCAGCCATTGTGTCTCTTGTCCACATATGCCCATCTCTCTCCACTACTGTGCCCTTATCTCTCACAAAAAAGATTCAACTAGCAAGTATCTGCCTCCCAGCTGCCCTTGTTTTTCTCTCCACTCCCCTCACCCCCCCATTCTCCTATCCCCCTTGTGCCTCTCACCTTGTACTCCTGCACCACCTCCTCCATTGGCACCACGCTGTGTTGTTTGTGGGTCCTGGATTCTCGGCACACCACACAGATAGCCTCTTTGTCCACTTCACAAAAAAGTTTCAGGGCTTCCTGGTGTTTGGAGCAGATGCCCTGATCATTCCCCCGACTTCCTCGATAAGGAGTGGGGCTCATCTGGCGAATTATCTGGACCATGTTGGCTAGCTGCAAGTTGGGACGAAAGCTGCGACGCTTAAAGCTCTTTCGGCACTGGGGACAGATGAACTGACGTGGAGGGGGCGGAGGAGGGGGGGGAGGTGGAGGAGGAGGAGGCAAATGGGTGTCAGGATACAGCTCTTCCTCGTCCTCGTATTCTTCCAATATCTCCTCTTCTGGGTAGACGTCAATTCTCAGGTCATGTCTCAAGCTTCCCAGGTGATAGTCCTGATCTTCCTCCTCTTCTTCCTCCTGGTCCCACACATAGTCCATGTTGTCCCAATTCCTGACGCCACCGTCACCAACCCAGAGTTCATCTTCTTGGTACTGGAACACCTCGTCAGCACTGCCCTGGTACAAAACCTCTCGAATAGAGTTGTCCCATCCACCGGTGGCCCCCTCCACATCGTCGCCCTCGTCTTTTTCCCATCCATCTTCTTCCCCGTCCCTGTCTTCCTCATCTTCCTTGCCCCACAGTTGGGTCACACATCCTCGGCAGAAGTTGTGCCCACAGCCTATGGAAACGGGATCCTTGAAGTAATCCAGGCAGATGGCACACACCGCTTCCTCCTGAAGGGTCTGCATGGGGTTAGGAGTAGTGGCACAGCCAGCCATTTTAATGCGCAGCCTGGAGGTGTGGATGCGTCAACTCCGAGCTGAGGAGCGGGGAACGTGTCTGCAGGCTACGTGTCCAAGCTACGCTTGTGACCCAAGGTTTTTCTCTACACTGCTCTTCCTCCTCAGGCCGGCAAAGGAGCCTTACTCCCCTCCCTCAGGCTCTTCCCAGCTCAAGGCGCGAAAGCCCTCTAGCGCTGACTCAGCCGCCCTCCAAGAGGAGCGGGAGCGGAACCAGGCTGCAGCTTCCACTTTCCTTCCAGCTTCAGCTTGCAAATCCGGGTCCCGACACGTTTCTTGCCTCCCTCCAGGTTTGCCCGACCTGGTGGCGGCACTCCCCACCCAGCCCGAGGCGACCGAAAATGACGTAGGCACTCTAACCCACACTCGGAAAGGATAGACTGAGCCAATGGAGGACTACGTTCTCTATGATGCCCCAGGGGACGCGACAGTTGGGAGCCCTGACGGCCATCCAGCCGGTCCTGATAGGAAAGACGTGAGAATGGGCAGAGGTGGAAAGAGAATCAACAGACCATTACACCGCTCCACACCAGCCAGACACAGAGTGTCCAGCAGTCCCTCAGCCGAGGCAGTTCCCCGGACACGGACCCAAAAGGGTGGGGAGAGCGGCGTCCAAACTCGTGCTCTCGTGCACTTTCGGCCCTTATAGCCTGAACCCTTTGTGGTAGTGAGAACGCCCTCTCCACGGAGGCCACGCTCGAGGGTGTGGCCTGCAAGAACGCAGTGGGGTGGTGCTTGCGGTAGCGTGGAGTGGCTGTGAAATCAAAGATCTCGCGTGGGGACTCGTATACCTCCAACTTTTCTCCTCAAACCAATTAATCCCTTACTACCAGCAGAGCCTCGGCTTTCTAGCCCTCATCTCTCCCGTTACGACTTCTATGTCCATCTCCACTGTCCTGCAATTTCTCAGATAACCTCAGACTCAGCATGCCCTACGCTGACTTATTCTATAGATCTTTTTGTCTTCATCAATAATGCTTCCATTCACCATCCCCTCACTTATCTATGCATGCATGCATGCATGAATACATCCACCTGCCCATTCATTTAATTAATGTCCATCATTAATTCATTTAATTCATCCATCTATCACATACATGCATAACCCATCCATTTATCCATCCACTTTATTATAGGAACAAAAACATGAGTAAGGCATGATCAGTCCCTTCAAGGTGTTCAGAGTTACAGGCCTGTGGTTATCCTTAACCCAAGGTTTTTACAAGGTTTGTTTTTCTTTCTTTCCTTGGCCCTCATTAAGAAGTGCATTGCACATGTTAATCTAATACAGACTTGCACATATGTAACAGAAATAAGATTTCTGAAAATTGTTCTTTCCCTTATGGCAGTCAAGGCACCCTGATATGTTCTATTCTATTTTGCTTCGGTAAAATGCTGTTCAAGATCCACTGGTATGATTGCACCCCTCACTAATTGGTCACTATTTGGTTTGAGGAACACCACCTGCCCTAATGGAATCTTCAAGGCACCCTGGAACCCCTGCTGTCCCTCTCTGAGCCCAAACTTGAACTGTAAATTCTACAGAGCAGGGATGGTAAATGTGCTGTTAACATTGTACATGCAGCTCATCTATCATAATGCTGAACATACAGCCTATCTGCTGAATAAATAGTAAACAAACACAACAAAATGCAACCATCAAGTCCTGCTGATTTTTATCTCCCCAAACCTAAGCCGATTTCTCTATCTCTTCCTGTCATCCTAGATCTGACCCTATCAGCTTCCAACTGGATACATTTCCTAAAGGGTCATTTGCCCTCATTTCAGTCCATCCTGAAGCCACCAGAACCATCCACCTGAAATGGAAGTCTGACACACTCATGCTAGGCTGTTGGCCTCTATGTCTTTGGGCATGTTCTTCCACCTGGAAGGCTTTTGTTTCACTGGTTCACCCAGATATAGCTCCTTAATTATCCTTCAGGTCTCTGCCTAGGCATAACCTCTTGAAGGAGATGCTTCCCTGAGGCTCGTCCCAGACTGTGTTAGCACTCCAACTCTGTCACTTAACTCTGTGTGTGACTTTGGACTAGTTTCTTAAAAACTGTGCTGCTATATCCCCATCTGCAAAATAAAGTTGACAGTAGCACACGTATATTAGAGTTGTTGTGGAGTTGGAATAATTGACATCTGTAAAGTAATTGGAACAGTGCCTACTGGGCCTATCTTTGTATCCCCATCACCTACTATTATATGCCCTTCCTGTAGTAGATGAGCCATAGAAGAAAGTCCTCCTCTTTGAAGCGTCAGGAGATTGGGACCCTGTGGTGAAAAATATCCTACTGCCTGTCGTTTAGTGGTTTGGAAAACCTTATGTTTGGAGAGGGAGGGAGTTGAAACCCAGGCCTGGCCTGCCTACAGTGGGGCATCTATTGGTAGTGTTTATTTGTTAGGAAACTAACAAGTAAATTCCCAGTATACAATCTGGGAGCCTTCCTAGAGGTCATGACCGAGCTGAGGAGCCATGAGGGGAAATCTGAACAAGAAGAACTGAAACTGCATTTCAGGGCTTAAATACTTACCCATCTCTGAATGCAGGTTGTACCCTACACATAGAATGGTAGGGGAACCAGCTGGGGAGTAGAACAAAAGAAGAGGGGGCTGCTCAGAGTTGCATGCTCTTTGGACCCAATCAGCCATGTGCCCCTAGCAGAATTTTTAGGTTGGAGAAGCCCACACAAGAGTTCAACTGCAGATAATTAAATTCCAGTTCATGGTAACAAGGCAAGCCCTTGTCACAGACACTGGGGACCATTTGTCAGAGGTACTAGAGAGGCAGTCTAGCATTGGTTATGTTGCCCAGGGGTTGACAAATCTGGCCCTCAGTTTCTTTTTGTAAACCCCAAGAAGTAAGAATGGTTTTTAAATTTTATTTATTTTTAATTTTTTTAAATTTAAATTTAAATTAAAAAAATTTTTTTAAGTTTATTTATTTTGAGAGAAAGAGTGCAAGCATGCATGCATGAGTTGGTGGGGGTGGGGCACAGCAGAGAGAGAGGGAGAGAGAGAATCCCAAGCAGGCTCCACACTGTCAGCACAGAGCCCAAAGTGGGACTCAATCCCACGAACTGTGAGATCATGACCTGAGCTAAAATCCAGTGTCAGGGGCTCAACTGACTGAGTCACCCAGGGCACCTCAAGAATGGTTTTTAAATTTTAAAGGAGTTCAATAAAGATGAATATGTGGATGGAGACTATATGTGGCCAGAGAAATCTAAAATATTTACTCTCTGATACTTTACAGAAAATGTTTGCTGACACCTGGGCTAGGAGGCATGGAATAGAGGATCTCTAGAGTGTCTTTTGATGTGATTCTGGCTTGTTTCTCCCCTCTGGGTTCAAGAGCCAGACTCTTTCCCTAGCACTCCCTTCTTGAGTCAGATTACAAAGGACCTAGCTGGACAGGTGAGTGTGACCAGTAGGTCTGCCTTGAGTCTGGTTGTGGGTTTGTGGGTGGTGTCACTGTTATAGACTCCAGAAATACTGGTAGTTCTTTCACTCCCCTCCACTTGAAATGTGACATCCATACAGAAATGCACAAATCATAAATTTATAGCTCCAAAAAAATTTCAAAGTTATACATTGAGAACAAGAAATGGGCATCCCCAGAAATCCCATGTCCACTTCCACTCATTCCCCATAGCAGGCAAGCACTATCCTGACTTCTGTAGCCATGGATTAGTTTTGTCTTTTTGTGAACTTCACCAAAATGGAACATACAATGTGTGCTTTTATGCTTGGCTTCTTTCATTTTACTTAATGTCCAGGGGATTCATCCATGCTGTTGTATGTAGTAGTAAATTCTTCATTCCAATTTGGTATAACTGCTCCATTGTGTAAGTAGAGCAAATTTGTTTACCTGTTCTTCTGTTGAGAGGCATTTGGGTTGTTTCCAGTCTGGGGCTATTATGAACAGTGCTTTGAACACTTGAATCTGTCATTTAGTGAACATATGTATGGATTTTCTTCTTCTGGATGTAAGATTTAGGAGTCAAGTTACTAGGTCAGAGGGATACATAGGTTTAGTTTTGAGTACATCCTACTTAACTGTTATTATTTAAACCTTGGAATTAAGAGCCCCCTGCACTTTGGTTATTTCACTGGGATGGGTGGGGCTGGACCAGAGTGGGACACTGAGGCTGAGTGAGAGGTAGTAACTAGGCCTCTGGAGTGCTACCCCAGGCCTCTCCTTGCTGGCACCTCCCCAGAGCAGACCAGGTCAGCTAGCATGAGGTACCAGTCCTCAGGCAGCACACAAAGTTAGGGATCTCAGGAGCAGCCTGTTGTCATTATCAGGAATTTTAGGGGACACCTCAAGCTCAACCTGTCCCCCAACTCATTTCTTTCAAAGGGCATTCTCTTCACCTCACCACCTCCTTTCCAGCTAGCCTTTAGAGTTGAAGATGATGAGTGCCAGGCACCCCATTTCCTGATGGGGACAGATGCTGGATGGAAGACATATAATCCAGGACAGTTCCCCTGTGTCTTCTCCTCTGGTGTCTTGGTGGGGAAGATCAGGGAGCCTGTGTGGGTAAGAATCCACCCTCCCAACCCCCCAATCCCCATCTGATTCATGGTCAGGTCTAACTTGGAGCCTGCAATATTCTCCCTGCTCCCAACATTCTCAGACACTCCCTAGCTCCCTCCTGCTGGCTGTTTCTTCCCAGGCAAATGTCTCAGGAGGTGGTTGCAAGGACAGATTTTGCCTTCTGAGCTTAGTACTCTGTGAAGGGAAAATGAGTTTTGGCACAGCCTTCATCTTCCTTAACTCAGGCTCAGCTTCTCCTCCATTTTCACTGCAATGCTTTGGCTCTCTGGATCTCTCCCTGTCCTGGATTTGCTCTAGCATGTGGCTCCGTCAATGTGGCCAGGAAGCAGGACTAGAGAAACCTGAGGGTCAGCCTTTTGGCATAGGGCAGACTGGCAGACTGACTCCCTTTTCCCTAGCTGTTTGTCTTGAGGTGAAGCTGTGTGATTCCATTCTGGAACTTACTATTCAGTTACGTGGCAGTCTAGGGGCAAGGCTAAAGAGACACAAATGAAACAGCCTGTGTCTTCAATCCTCTTCTGTTTACATTGGTCTGTGAGCTTCTTCAGGAAGTTAGGGGATTAAAAAAAAAAAAAAAAGACTCATCCAGGACTGGGCCTTCCTCCTGGTCTTTGTTGCTGGCCAGGCCCTGACTGCCTGGACACACCCGAGAGACATGTGCTGTGGGCATCATGGAACCTCAGAGCAGGGATGGCTAGGAGGGCTTCTGGGAGCATGACCTGAGCACAAGTCTCAGAGAATTCCTGGAGGCTGTGGGGAGAGTAGGTGTGGCATTCTAGGATTGGAACATTGCAGTTACTTACAGGACTGAGGCTGCAATGGGGATGGCCTGTAAGGAAGCCTTGTATTTGGTGGACATAGAAGCTAATATTCATCGAATACTCATAATTTATTATTTATTAATCAATGCATTCATTCATTCGAATCATCACAAAGCACAATTCCAGGCCACACTGAATTCTGCCCTAAATATGGTGGTCTGGAAAAAGTCGTGGTTTGGGACTAGAGTCCAGAGGGTTAGCAGGTAAGATCTGTGTCAGTGGAGGGGTATCTCAGTGCAGCCTGAAGACTAGAGAAGTCTGATGTAGCATTCCTCCCGTGGGGAAGATGTCTTGGCCTCTGTGAGTGAGGGGATGGCCTGTGGATGGAGATCCCATGGTTCTGACCCAAGGCCAGGCCAGTCTGGGCTGAGAGAGAGAGGCAGTTCTCAGGAGCAGCTAGTGGAAGTATTGCCCTGCTGGGTGAGAAGGTTGCTATTCCTGTGGGTCTGTGATTTTTTGCAAAGCTGTCTTCCTGTCCTTGCCAGATTTGTAGGCCCCTTTACTGCTTCCAAGTGTGCTTAGAACCCTCCTCACTTGCCCTCCTGCCTCTGTCTACTCCTAAGACTGTGGTAGTAATCAGGGGGCACCCAGGGGAACACTTGGGGCTCAGATTAACTCCCTCTGTGTTTGCCTTCTGTCCTCTCACAAGCTTCTCTCCAGGCAGGAGTGGCTGAGGAAAGAACCAGGGAGGTAGGCAGGCAGGGCATCTAGGCTGGTCCTGCTGGGTCCAGAGCCCCTGTCTTTTGGTTGAGATCACTGACCAGCCATTGCTAAGCAGAGAAACAAAAATGGGAGAGGGAGCAAGGCCTGGGTTAAGCGAGACCACCCTATTTTCTGGGCCTGTTCATCCCTCTGGGGAGTTAGACTCAGGACTCCCAGGTTCACCTCCTACCTGGCCATGAGGTGCTGGTGCATGTTCCTTTGTCTCAGGTTTTGCAGGTGCACTGGACTATGCTTGGGGTGTGGGTGGAAGAGAAAGAGAGCTGTGCACTGGAGACAGCTGACATCCTGGACAGGAAGGACTCTAACATGAGAAGCAGAAAGAGGTGGCATGATCATGGGGTTTGTGGGGGAGAGTGTGTCAACCTATCAGGGGCTTGTAGGGTGCTATATGGGGTTCCTTTAGGTCTAAAATTTATTTTATGGTTCCATGGGCAAAACACTGAACTAGTCTGTAAAGGAAATATGATTGAAACAAAATAAAGGTGAAGGATGCTCAGTTGCCAAGATCTCATAATCCAGTTATAGAGCAGATACTTCCTGAAGGTCAGAATGGTGGTGCCCTTGGCAACAAGAAGATCAGATTCTTTCAGGGGTGTGAACTAGAAGTTATTGGGTTAGTAGGACTCAGGAAAGGGGAGAATAGCCCCCCCCCCATGTTAGGGGGCAGTGTAGTGGCCACCCCTCTCCTCAAGATATTTTTGTCTACCAGGCCCTGTCCCCAGAGTCCCAGGTTCCCATGCAGATGTCAGGTTCCCAACTACCGGGAAGGTCAGGTAGGTGGAGGTTGAGGAAGGCCATCAGGAAAAGGAAGTGAGGTGAAAAAAAGGAATGGTTATCTAGGGCAGATACAGACAGCATAGCCCAAGCCCTCAGGCAATTTCTAAACCAAGTAGCCAATGAGGCCACTCTGATAAGTGGTGACCCTACCCTTTGGGTTGTGGCAGGTGGCTGGGGCTCTGCTGCCATCCTGTAGGCACTGTTCTGAAACTGTATCAGTCCATGGCCTTTCTGCCCTCTCTCCTCATCAGAGAGATGGTCCTACAATCCTGCAGCCCAAGAAGTTCTCAGAGTTCTGCACATAGAGATGCGCAGAACTGAACAGGAAATTCTAGCCCATTCTGCCCAAGGCTCACACTTATAGAAGCCAGTGTCAGTGGGATGAGTACCTCGTCTAAGGCTCCCTGAATTTACAAACCCTCTGTATCAAAGAAGCCACACAAACTGCTGGTCTAAGGCCTATGCTTTACTAGGCAGGACCAATGCTGGAGGATGGGGTGGGTAAAGTTAGCTGTGGGTGAAGGAGCCTGATGTCTTTGGGGGTAGGGGGACAGAAATGTGACATAGCTATACTAATTCAAAGTGAGACTGACTGACCAGAGCCTCCTCCCATCTGCTTCTCCACAAATACACTGGGCCCTCATGCTCCTCAGGGATGGAGTTTTGACCTTTGCTCTGGAGATCCTAAGCACATCTTCAAAGGTCAGCACAGGCACTTGTGCCTTCCATTGGTGTGGGCCAGACCCACCTTGTGCCTCAACATTTTCACTGTACAGACAAGTGTAAAAATAAAATATTTATTATCACAAAATCTTATTAATACAGGTCCACAGCCCTTACCTGAAACCCTGGGGGCCAGATGTATTTAAGAATTTAGAATTCTTTGGGCTTTAGAAAATGCCAAATTACAGATGCTGAATGTTACATAACATCTCCAGAGTTTGTCTGGGGCACCACTCCATAATCAAATATATCAATATATCTGTGGAAAATTGTGAAAAGGCACACTGGCCTATAAATAGCCTCACTTCACTTCAGGTTGTGCCAAAATAAGGAAGGAACTTCTGGTTTTGGGTTAGGATTTTCACAATTGCAGATAAGGGATTGCAGATTTGTGCTTACGTACCCATTTACAGAATGGCACAGATGTCATTGAGGTTTTTGGTGCAGTAGTGAAGTGCCCAGACTGTAGCCACAGACTTCCTGGTTTCATGTCCTGGCTCTGGCACAAACCAGCCATAGGACCTTGGGCTTCAATGTCTTCACCTGTAGCACAGGATTATTAATTCTCCCACACAGGCGTGTTATGAGGATCACACAGTTTAGTACATGTAAAAGTGCTCAGAACCAGCACAGCATGGATCCTGATGGCAGCACTAAGACAGGCAGACAGACATTAGAGACACATTTTCAGTGCAATCACATAGTTGCAAGCTCACTGCTGAGGTTCTTCAGGCTACCAGGGCAGGCTGAATCTGTCTAGTATCACAAATCTTTCACATCCTTCAGCTTGGGGCCTCCCAGGGCTGCAGACATGAAGATTTCAGAAATCCCCACAAGAGGCTTAGTCATGCCTTGGGGCTCTACAGAGAGGCAGAGGGTGCCCTGTTAAGGGCCCAAGCTTGTGTCCTTTATGCCAGTGGAGTGGTCCCTCTGCTGTGGCTCTGGAGTCCTCTCCCTTTGCACATCTGCTGGCCGGCCATGAGACTTGAACTGCTCTCTGAATAAACAAAAATGTGTGCTCCCCAGGAGATTCTTATTCACAAAGGAGACGTAGGGTTTCTGCTATACTGAAATTCAGAGAAGGAGAGGCTGGACCTTCCCAGACACATCCTTAACAAGAATTCTTAACAAGCATTTCCACAGGACATAGTGAAACTTCTCTTCCCCTTATTGTAAAAGTAACATGTACTTATTGTAAAAATCCAAACCATTCAAGAGGACAGGATGGAAAATGCTGACTGTATTGTTTTCCATCCTTCAGCTGCCCTGGGCTAACAGGTCCCTGGGCACCTGTCCCTTGAACTTCTCATACACACAAAGTCACCCCCTGCCACCCCCGCCCCCGCTCATACACCGTCACTCCCTACACACCATCACACACATCATGGACCCCCTTGTCCTCACACACCCACCCTCACCCTGCAGGAACCACATATCCTCACACCCCCCAACACTCCAATCTTCTTTATAAAAGAAAATATACATACACACAAGAACACATTTATAAAAGGAGGTAGGCATTTGGCCATGCTGCCCCCATAACTCCTTGACTGTTCTTCTGGTTCTTCCTTAACTTCCCATAGCTGTGGTTTCCATGTTGGGGAAGTGGCGGTGAGAATACCATCACCGAACTCACAGAGTACCTGAGAGGCTCAGGTGGGATTTACACTTTACATGAAATTATCGTGCAAATTGTCAAGTGTGAACCGATCTGAGGAATTATTACTGCCCTCCTTCCCACGCCCCCAAACTGGAGACAATTAGACTTTTAAAAGGACTTCAGGAAGATGGCAAATCTTACTGGCCCAGACTGCTTGTGATGAGGCTGATGGAGCTGAGGAGGGCTCAGTTTTGAGGTGGGGTGGGCCCTTCAGAGTTGGATCACCACTGCCAGCCAGCTAGCACACTGGATGCCCCCAAACCCTCTATAAAACACCTCCTTGATCTGTGACAGTGAACTTGTGTCAGCAGAGCAGCTGAGCAGTCTCCACGCTCATTGGGTTTTGGGAATTATGAGGCTCCTCTCCACCTGCAGGGAGAAAGTAGGGAGGTGATCCAGACTGCTCCCCAGCCCTCTCCCAAACTCAGCAGTGGCTCAATGGAGTGCTCCCTGCCCCCTCCACCTGGCTCCCAGGTGGTGGGAGGGAGCAGAGGGTGAGGGATGAGGCCATGCTGGAGACAGAAAGCTTCCGCCCACCACCCTGCCTCCAGTTTTGGTTTTCAGGCATCTTAGCCATGCTTGGGAGCACCTGGGGCTTCCTCTCCCCAACCCACCCATCCCACAATCACCTGGGGCTTGTTTGCAAGATTCCTTATTCCTGGCTATGGGAAAAAGAACACAAAAGGAGAGACTAGGTGGGTGGTAGGCAGAGGTGGGGGTCCCAGGTACCCACCTTCCACTCCCTCTCCCCCTCTCGGGTCTTTTGAAGGTCAATCCTAGTGGTCTTCCCTGGCTGTGTGATCCACAGTGTCTTTAGGGCAATGTATGGCTATTGGGTGGGGGTACTTGGGCTTTTCCACAGATGGGGACAGGTGTTCAATAGTAGTTGCTTCTCCCCAAGAGAGAACAGTTCTGGTGGAAGGGATGGGAGCAGAGCATTCCTCCCTATAGGGTTGAGCTGGCTGTGAGGACCCTCCACTACTTTTTTCTTCCCTACCTACCTTGAGAGTACTGCTTGATGAAAATCAAAACTCCAGCCACCAGCAAGAAAGTGATGGTGAAGATGATGGAGACAACCTTGGCACTGGTTATCCACTGATGAGAGGGTGCTTCTAAGGACGGCAGAGAAAAGGGGGCACCAGCCCCATGCCATGGGACTGTCTCTGGGTTCCCTGGGACCCTCCCCTGCTCCTCCTCATCCCCTCTGCCAAGCCCATCTCCTCACCCCAGGCCACAGTGAGTGTATGGTTCAAGCTGGAGTGCTGCACATGGCAAATGTACCCATTCTCCATCCTGGCTGGCACCCGCACGGCCGCCCATGTCTGGTAGGTACCATCTCCACCAGGGCGTGTCTCCACATACTCGGTCTCTTGAACCAGCTCGTCCTCCCCCAGCCACCAGCTCAATGAGATGTCCCGTGGGTAGAAGCCCCGGGCCCAGCATCTCAGTGTGATGCTCCCATCCTCAGCTGTGTGTCTTGTCACCTGCACTTTGGGCGGCTCTGCAGAGAGAGGTTGAGGGAAGAAAGCTGGTGAGAAGCTGCTCTCTGCTCATTCCTCATGCCTGATCCTGGGCTGCTCTAGCATTTTCCAGGGTGGAGGACACCCCTTCTGCCCACAGAAACCCTGTGGCTTTCTCAGAGACTTTACGTACTTCCTCCATAACTTCTTGCACATGGTAGGTGTCTAACAAGAAGTGAAGGCAAGAAGGATGGTCCTGCCCTCACTTTGGAAGGAGGTGGTCATGTGTGTAGCTCTGGAGCCAGACAGCCTGGAATTGAAGCCCAGCCTGACTCCTGTCCACAATCCTCCAGTCTCTCAGGGCCGGATGGGGATTCTTTGTTTTTTCCTCTCAGGATTGTTCCAAATGACATAATCCGTGAGTGATGGTCCATTTTATGTGTCAACTTTACTGGACCACACTGTGCCTAGGCATTTGCTCAAGCATTATTCTGGGTGAGATTCACATCTGAATCAGTAGACTCAGTAAAGCAGATTGCTGTCCCCAATGTGAGTGGACTCCATCCAATCACTTGAAGATCTGAACAGGGCAAAAAGTCTGAGTAAGAAGAAATACCTTCAGCTGGCGCATCAGTCTTTTCCTGACTATAGTTTCAAACTGAAACACTGGCTCCCTTAGGTCTCCAGGTTTGCCAACTGCAGATCTTGGAACTCCCGAGCTTCCACAATCACATGGGCGGATTCCTTAAATATGTCCCTTTCTCTTTCTCTCTCTCTAAACATATCCTGTTGGTTCTGTTTCTGTGGAGATTCCTGATGAATTCATCAGGTGATATGTGTGTAGAACATCCTCCTGCTGCTGGATGAGAGCTCAACACTCATTTAAAACACCAATATGGTGCTTCTTGGAGGCAGGGGCTATTGTTACCATCCCTGTAATACTAATGAGGAAACTCAGGCACAGAAAGGGCAAGTAACTTGCCTAAGGTCACACAGCTAGCCATTCCTGGAGCCAGGACGTGGATCTGCAGGCTAGGCTCCAGTACCTGAGCCCTGACCACCGCCCCCCCCACACACACACACTCTACTCTCATAATCACATCTTCTCTTGATGTTATTTTCCCTGCCTTCCCTTCAAGGAATGTCCTCCCCATTGCCTCAGCTGATTCACATCCCACCAGTCCATCACTGAACATCCATGGTGTGTTGGGTGTTCTGACCAGCCCTACCCACTAGTAGCCAGTGAGGCCTCTGCCTCAGCACCCCCATGCACCCACCTTCCCTAGGGTCCATCCTAGTCCTTGTATCTCCAGCCCCGCTGGCTGGAGTCAAGAATTTAGGATGCACCTGGAGTCTGAGGAGCATGTTTAGCATGAGGGGTGTGGGGACAAAGAGCCTCAGATTCCCTGACAGTCCCCAGTAGTCCAGGGACTGGCCTAGTGATGGATGCTATCCCCTGGGGCCTGAGGTGCATTTCCCAAGGAGAACCACAGGATGTTAAACCCGCAAAGGACTTTATGAGCCAACTAGTTTAACCTACTTATTCTATAGATGAATAAAATGAGGCCCAGAGTCAGAGCCTCATTCACCAAGACCATATCATGGGGCATGAACTCCCCATTCTACCTCACCTGGAATGAGGGCCCAAGGTCCAAGCTTCTGTGCTGCCCTACTTGAGGAAGGTGTTGGCTAGTCAGCCTTCTTTCTGGGGCCAATTGGGCTTGTCTGAGCCAGGGAAACACAGCCTATCTCCTCACCCCACCAAGATCCTCGAGAACGGGAGTGTGGGCCCCTCTGTGTTGCCACAGGCTGCGCCTTACCTTTCCGGGTGAGGCTCTGGCTGCCCAGCTCCAGGTACCTGTGCAGGGAAGTGAGGCAGAGGCCCTCCAGGTAGGCCTTGTCGTATTCGGCATAGCAGCGCTCTGTTTCCCACCAACGCTTGGTCTGCACAGCCACAGGCTTGGCTGACACCCAGCTCAGGGTCTCCAGGTCCAGTGACAGGTGGTCCTGGCCATCAAAGCCAAACTGCCAGAAGCTGCTGGTACAGCCGTCTTCCCGGATCTCACAGCCGAACGTTCGCTGAGTGCTGTGTGTGCCTGGGCATGTGGGCAAGCAGGCTGCGGTTTGCCTGGGCTATAGGTTGTATCCCTGAGGCTGGGGAGAAGCCCACCACCCATGGGTGCCTCTGAAGGATGGGAGGGGGTCAGAGTGGTGCCATTTACAAAAAAATGCTCCCTGGGTAATTTTCATGAGCAGGCCAGGGCTGAGAAACCTGTTGGGCTTCTCACGTGAGAACACTTGCATACATAACTACAGGCATTGTTATTAGAAGGAAAACTCTGCTACTTATGGAAGTAAGATGTCCTTAAAATACACTCGTGGTAAGATGAAATCACACCCCAATTTCAGAGATGTGAAAGAGATGTTAAAATGTGAACCTGGCTGCTGCCACAGCACCTGGGGGCTGGTCATGCTTATTATTCTGGGGCCCCTGGGCTAATGTATAGCTTGTCCCAGCCTTGGGCTTTTAAATCTACTCCCTCTGAGGCATCTGGGACCTGAGGCTTCAGTTTGGGTTTCCAGGGACAGGATGGGAAAGGGCTGAGAACAAGTGCCCCACAAGCACACATGCAGCATTAGCAGCAGCCATCAGTAGGCATGAGCTAGCCTTTGCTGAGATAAGGAAGCAGAAGCCTGAGAGAATGCTATACCTAACACTGGGTAGAGCAGGGGTCTTTAACTAGGTTCTCTTTCCCACCCTGAGCTGTCTGCCTAGTTCAAGTTCATTTGGTTTCCCTCCCTGCATGGCAGAGTTGGTGTCTGAGAGCCTGGTGGGTGGGTGTGATTTAAGTGTTTGGTGAGGATGAGGGATGAGGTAGGGAAAAGCCTCTGCCTCTGCCAGTCTGCAGAGGTCTGGAACCATGGGTAGCTGAAGGGGAGGTGTTGTGAGTCCCTAACTTCTGTGGATGCTTGCTGTGCTAGCCCAATGGGCTGGCCACTGGAGCCACAACTTATTCTGAAGGCCCCTATGGCCCCTGCTTGGTCCTTGTGGTGGGAAAGCTATGCATCAGGAGCATGCCTTGTACCCTCTTATGGGCTCAGTGGAGTGACCTCTGTTCCCAACTGGAAGGGCATGGCTGCCCAGAGGGTCAGCATTGAAAGTATGAAGGAAGGAGGATGTGGGGTGGCAGGAGCCTCTGACGCACCACTGCTCTGGTTGTGGTAGCCCATCACAGTCCATGTCTCCACCTGCTGCACCTTTGCCCAGGCTCTCTGCTTCTGGGTCTCTGTTTCCCAGTACTGGGTGTCCACAGCTGCCATCCACGGGGCCTGGGGCTTGGCTCTGTCCACACGACTGTCATAATGGATGAAAGGCTGGTCGTCCACGTAGCCTACAGCCAGAAACTGAGGAAGGCCCGGGCCTGGCTCTGATAGGGCCAGGTAGTGGTAGTGGAGAGAGTGCGTCCCTGTGAAGATATGAAACAATAAGGCTCCTATGCACTGCCAGGATCTGCACCACAGGTTGGGTGACTGATGGGATTGGCGGTGGAAACCTATCCAGAGTAATTTGCTTATCAGTAAGAGCAAGAACTGAGAATTGCAGTTAAGAAAATAAGTGTATCCAAATAGTTTAAATAAAGAATCAATCAATCAGGCAAGCAAGCAAACACTGAGGCCAAAGTTTATTTGCTCAGGCTTGTGGACTTTATTTTTAGGAAGTTTCTCAGCTCCTGACTCAGGCTTACTTGCTCATGCTTTACACTCATCTCTGTAAGTATGATTACTGTTTTTCCGTCTCACAATAAAAAAGGTATGATTAAAAAAAATTGATTGTTTTTAAGCTTAATTTACGTGAAGTTATTCATTCCCCAGAGATGCCTGATGAAGCTGAGCCATCACTCCTGGTTTGAACCATTGCTGCCAAGTTGGTGGCATCTTGACTGCACTCTCCACTTACTCCTGTTCCCGTAGCAGACAGTGCTAGTCATCTCTTCTCTTTATGTCCAAATGCTGCCCTAATATTTGTTCTCCACTATCTCCAGAAGCACCAACTCATCCATTCAACTTGATGCTGGAGATGAAATCTATTTAGCAGCCAGGCCTGACTCAAGCTACGAAAACAAATGCTGTATCTTTAAAAAAAAAACCTCAGTCCACCTTTCTCAGAGATTCACCCAGGGCTCACTCCCTTAATTTTTTAAAAGGTCTTGCTCAGGAGGCGCCTAGGCGGCTCAGTCGTTTAAGCATCCGACATCAGCTCAGGTCATGATCTCATGGTCCGTGAATTCGAGCTCCGCATCAGGCTCTGTGCTGACAGCTCAGAGCCTGGAGCCTGCTTCAGATTCTGTGTCTCCCTCTCTCTCTCTGCCCCTCCCCCATTCGTGCTCTGTCTCTCTGTCTCAAAAATAAATAAACATTAAAAAAAAAAAAAAACAGGTTTTGTTCAAATGCTGCTTTCCCAGTAAAGCCTTCCTTGCCCACTCTGTTAAATACTTACAACCCCAACACTCCCAACAGTGTTTTTCTCTAGGGCATTATTACCACCTCCTAGAGAACATGCACTTTATCTGTTTATCTTGTTCATAGTCTGTCTCTCCCCTGTAACATCCATTCCCCAAGGGCAGAGATTACTGTAAGGATCATTCTCCTGGGGCACCTGGGCTGCTCAGTCGGTTAAGCATCCTACTCTTGATTTTGGCTCAGGTCATGATCTCATGGGTTCATGGGGTTGAGCCCTGTGTTGGGCTCTGCACTGACAGCATGGAGTCTACTTAGGATTCTCTCTCCCTCTCTCTCTGCCTCTCGCTTGTGCTCTCTCTTTCAAAAAAAAAAAAAAAAAAAAAAAAAGGATCATCCTTCTTTCCCAGCCTGCAACAGCTGCTGGCACACAACAGGTGGTTAACATTTGAATATTCAGATATTAAGGGATGAGTCAAATGCATCCCCATCCTCACAACTCCTTCTGCTATCTTATAACCACATCAAACTCTGCCCAGGCGCTTTGTACCTGCAGTTCCTGCTGCTCCCTCTCTTCTCTCAGCCAATGTCTCCTCAGCCCTCAGGTTTGAAGGTCAGCGTCCCTTCCTCCAGGAACCCCTTCTGATTCCACCCAGATATCCCTCAGGGGTCTCTGGGCTCCCTATGAAACTCCATGAAGGCGGGCAATACATCTGACTGTGCCACTAGTGTTTCCACGGGTCTTGGAAGAACACCATGCCTGGCATACAGTGGACACTTCCAGCGTTTACTGAGTTGGACAAAAAACAAGAACATGAAGGGCAATGATGATGATCAGAGCTGTCAGTTTTGGACAGTGACCACTGTGTGCCCTACACCAGTCTAACTGCTTTTCATTCACCATCTCAGTTGATCCTTAGGATAAACCCGAGAAGTTGATGTGATTGGCCCTGTTTCGCAGATGAGGGAACTGAAGCCCAGGGGAGGGCAAGTACAGCACCCAAAGTCGTAACTAGAAAGGGAAGAGCCCAGATTCTCTCCCCAGAGCCTGCTTTTTCTTTTTCTTTCTTTCTTTTTTTTAAATGTTTATTTATTTTTGAGAGAGAGAGAGAGAGAGAGAGCGAGCAGGGAGGGGCAGAGAAAGATGGAGACACAAGCTGAAGCAGGCTCCAAGCTCTGAATTGTCAGCACAGAGCCTGATGTAGGGCTCGAACTCATGAACTGTGACATCATGACATAAGCCGAAGTTGGATGCTTAACCGAATGAGCCACCCAGGTGCCCCAAGCCTGCTTTTTCTGAGCTTAGGAAGAATACAGAGGAGCCCTTTTCTCACACTGATGAAACCTCCTTATGGGAGGTGAGAGGGACCAACGTTGAAAGTGTTTGAGTGAAGAACTGATACCAGGTCTGGACTGGTGTGGGCCTCTTGGGAAATGACTGAGTCTCAGGGTGTTGTTTCCTTGCAAACCACTGAGTTAAGATTAGTGGGATGCTCCTGGGTTGGGAGCTGTAAACAGGCATGCAGGCCTTGAAAGGAACAGAGGTTGTGGCTTCTCTATGTTAAGGTGACCCACCTTCTCCTTGGCTGTGATCTGCAGAAGCTCTGCTTGTTTGTGGGGTGATGGAGGGCAAAGAGCCTGTGCCCTTGGGTAGCTGCTGGGCCTCCTGAGTGGTGGGGAAGCCATGCATGTTGTAGTTTCTGTCCTGCCTCCTCCACAACTAAGGGAGTACAGTATGGTAGCTGAATCATGCCCCCCACTCCCACAAGATATCCCTAGAACCTATGAATGTTACCTTATATAGTAACAGGGATTTTGTAGGTGTGATTAAATTAAGGATCTTGAGCTTAATGATGATTGTAAAAAAAGATAATAAAAAAGGTTAAAAAATAAAATAAATAAAAAATAAAAAGAAATAAAAAATTAAGGATCTTGAGATGGGGAGATCATCCAGGATTATCTAGGCAGGCCATAAATGTGTTGTTATGAAACGGAGACAGAGGAAGATTCCATGACTATCAGAGAAGATGATGTGAAGATGGAACAGAGAAAGAGGCAGGAAGGTGCCATGAGCCAAGGAATGCAGCTCTAGAAGCTGGAAAAAGCAAAGAAATGGATTCTTCCTGAGAGCCTTTGTAGGGAGCTCTCCTGTGGCACCTTAGTTTTAGCCCAGTGAAGCTCATTTTGGACTTCTGACCTTCAGAAATCTAAGAGAATAAATGTATGTTGTCTTAAGCTACCAAGTTGTGGTCCCCCCCTCCTTTTATTTTAATTTTTGTTTTAATGTTTATTTATTATTTTTGTGAGAGAGACAGAGTACGAGCGGGGGATGGGCAGAGAGACAGGGAGACACAGAATCTGAAGCAGGCTCCAGGCTCTGAGCTGTCAGCACAGAGCCGGACGCAGGGCTCGAACCCATGAACAGTGAGATCATGACCTGAGCCCAAGTCAGACGCTTAACCGACTGAGTCATCCAGGCACCCCGTGGTCCCCTTGTTATAGCAGCTATAGAAAACAAATACATATAACATGAGACTAAAGTCTGTTGTGTCTTGTGAGTTTGGTGGGCAGTTCAAACCCATGAGCTCTGGAGGCTCTGCTGCCCTGAAAAGGAGAGAAAGATGCACAGTCTGGGAAGAGAGATGTCCTCTGAAAGCTGTGCCAGTCTTTAAGCTGCCACTAAGACTGAGGCCTGGGGAACGCAGAGTGAGGGTGCAGGGACCCTGGTATTCCCACCACTGAAGCAAAGAGGCCGCACAGGTGCTGACATGCTCTTTCCTAGGTGTGGGAAGGTGGGAAAGAACAAGAGATCCAAGTTCAGGCCTGCAGGAAAGACACCAACACACATCTGGTTGTTTCGTTGGGGCAAGTGCACAATTTGCTTCCTAGGTAACATTTCTATTTATTAATATTAGCTGCTCTAGTAGCCAGTTACTTTAGTTTAAAAAATGAGGGGAAGTCTATCAATGTATTATTTTTTTAAATCACAAAATAGTTATAAAGCACTTAGGTGTTGGGCCCTGTCCTGAGCACTTTACAAAATTTTGGCTCCATTAACCCTCATGACAATTTTATCAGGCAGGTATTGTGCCACTACTATTCCTGTCTCTGGGGAAACTGAGCCCCAAAGAGGCAAAGTCAACTGCCAAGCTCACACCAGTAGCAAAAAGCAGGGCCAGACTGCATTATTCAGATTCTCAAAGTGTCCCCTGGCCTGCACCTGCCCTTTAGTGAACACATTATAAAGACTAACAGTGTGTGGCTGGCTGGGGGCACAAAAGTGGCCACATGCCCACTGCTACCAAAGGCTCTGTGTCATCATCCACCCCTTCCCTCACTGCTGATTCCTGGTTACTGGGCCACATTACCCACCCCTCCCACCCCCCACACACAAAAGGGGCAGTCCTGCCCTCTTATGCACAGCCTCCCTTTTTCTCTGACTATGGTGGGGAATGAGGTACCCTACCCCTTTCCTGCCCCAATCTCTGTAGACGTTTTTGTATCTGCCCCACCTCCCTACAATCCATGTGGATTACAACTCTCTAGCTGTGTGACCTTATTTCACAGCTTCCGGCTTTGGTTTCTTCCTCTGTGACCTGCTCCACTGGAGCATTTGGTGAGGTAATAAACACAAAGAAGTATAGGCATGGAGGAAGGGTTCTGTGGACATCATTTTCTTAGCCTTAGTTCTTTCCTATCTGGTAGGGAGAGGTGGGCATGGGAAAAAGAGAGCTGGAGTATGGGGGGGATGAGGGTGGGGAAAGATACCTAAGTGAAGCCCCCCTGGGGTACCTTCCAGAGGGTATGGCCTCTGTGTCCCCTACCTAAGCAAAGACAGTCTACCAGGTTCCCAGACTGTACATGCCCTTCTGTAAGCTTGGGGGGTGTGTGGGGGGGGAGCTCCTGGTCTCTGCCATCTTGCCTCCTTTTTCATCACATGGGCAGAGCCTTACCTCCAGGCCATGGCTTGTTTTCTAACTTCAGGTCAGCCAGTTCTGCCATCACCACCTTTGCTAAGGAAGCTGGGCCATCAGCTACCACAGGCAGCCCCCAGGGACTCTCTGCATGGGGGAGAAGGAAAAGGGAAATATGAATCTCAAGGCATAAACATCCTGCACATCCTTGTCTCTGCTTGGAGAGATGGCATGAAATGACAAAGAGGCACATTGGAAGGGAAGAGGGACATAGGAGCCTTGCCTCAGGAATGACCAGAAACTTCCTTAGCATGCAAGTATAAAACCAAAAGGGCTGAGTTCTGGGTCTTGGTGCCAGAGCTTTATAAGGATTAATTCATGATATTTTTACTGCATTTTTGTGAGGTAGGCTGTTCCCACTTAAGAGGGAAACCAGGGCTGGGTTGCTCATACCTCTGCCAGAGGTTTTCCAACCAGCTGCCCCTGTACCTCCTGGCAGCTTTGACAATTCTGCTACGGACACACATTTGGTTGGTTTGGAGGGAAGAGGCACTGAAACCTCCCAGGTAATGCTCATGTGCTGCCAGGTGAAGAGCCCATGCCCTCTTGGCTCTGCCTGGCCCTGCCCAGCTTTGTACACTTGCTCACCTGGGCCAGTCCTGACCTCTCCCCTTGTGACATTACTCATTTGGCAAACATCTGTTGAGCACCTACTACTATGAGCTAGGCACTGAGCTAGGTGGGGGTGTGTGTGGGGACAGAGAGAAACCAAGACAGACATGGGCCCAAGGAAGCTCAGGTCTGACAAGGAGGTGGCAATTGAACAATTAAATAAGTAGGTCCAATAAGGTGAGCAGGGCTGATGAGCGTTGTGGTGCAGGAAGTACCAGGCTCCAGAAACACCCTGGGGTGGGAATGTGCTGGGGTCAGGGGCCTTATAGGCTGAAACCTGGAGGGGATCTCACCAGCTGTGAGTTACCAGGCAGTGGAGTTGGTGAGGAGGAAAGAACATTCTAGGCTAGTGAATCTAGTGTGGTTCCAGGACCAGCTGTATCAACATCACCTAGGAATTTTCTAGAAATGCAAATTTGCAGGACCCAACCTAGCCCTACTGAATCAAAAGCTCTGGGGGTGGGGTCCAGCTTTCTTTAGTTCAACAAGTCCTCTAAGGTTTGGGCCACTTCAAACTTCCCTGCTGCAGCACTCATGATAACTGCCCCATGAAAGCCACTTCCTCATTCCCTAGCTTCTAAAGGGAAAGACTGGCATCCAGGAGTGTTGTGAGCAGGCAGCCAAAAACCTCTGGCTACCTCCCCTCTTGTGTGCCATCTCCCTCCCACAGTTTGGTAAACCCCGTTTGGTAAACACAGTTTGGTTATCCTCCACTCCTTTCCTCCTCTTTGGTTTGGAGTTCTGTCTCCCTAAGTCAATCCCGGCCATTCCCTACAAAGGCTACAGGGCCTTTGTGCCCACACTCATGACCATTCCTGCCACGCAGAACTAGAATCACCCATATGCCCCTGTATCACACCTGAGGACTTGGGGGTGCTGTAAGTAGAATCTCTAGAGGCTGTATGTAACTTGAAAACCAAGACTGGTTATACAATCTTGGCCCAGAGACACAGTGGCCCATGCCCTTGGGGTCACTATTCCAAGGACCAAACTCTTCCCCAATCTTCTTCCCAGACATCCAAGCTGATTCTCCTTCAAGTGTTTTCCATGGGGAGCTGAGGGCTGAATCCTTCTGTAGATGCATCCTGTTGAGTTTTGGAGCCTCAACTTGGAGGGAAAAAAATAACCTCTTTATTTTCACTAACCTCTGGCTGAAATTTAGCTTTTCTCTCATGATGAATGAAGGCAACAAAGCTCAGCAGGATTAGCAGGGCCTGTGCTTTGTTCTCAGACAGAAGTCACAGGTGTTTTTGAATCACAATCCAGTTGTTGCAGACACCTGGAAATATGCTTTAATCTCACTACTTACAAATTCTGGGAATTGTTGCTATTCAGTGCGTTATTAAACGTGTTAACTTAGAAGCATACATTCTACATCTCACACATTTATATTTCTATTTAAAAGATTTTAATAGCTTTGTAGAAACAATCAGATTCCTTTGTAATCTTATATATTTCATTTTATGTATTGAAAACATTCTGGGACCGGGCCTAAGGCATAGAAAAGGTTAAGAATTCCGACTTTTGGGGCTCCTGGGTGGCGCAGTCGGTTAAGTGTTGGACTTAAAAACTCAGGTCATGATCTCACGGTTCCTGGGTTCCAGCCCTGCATCAGGCTCTATGTTGACTGCTCAGAGCCTGGAGCCCACCGCAGCTTCTGTGTCTCCCCCTCTCTCTCTGCCCCTTCCCCGCTCATGGTCTCTCTCTCCTTCAAAAATAACATTAAAAAAAAAAAAAAAAATCCGATTTTTGATCCTGCCACCTAGCGTCCTGAGCCGTACATTAAATCTGTAAACAGTAAATTGAGAAGTGTTCTGTGAGTTGAAATGGCTTCTTGTATGTGAAGTACTTAAAATAGAGCCTGGCGTAAGGGTGACCAGCTATTGTTACTTCTATGATGGTGGACATTTCCCCGCCTGTGCTAATAAATGTTCGGGTATACATGCGGCCCGGATGGGCAGTGCCCTATGGGAGCCGGGGGCGGGGTGGGGGAGTCCAGGATGATGTCAGGCCCAGCTACCAATGCTGGAAGAATTAAAATTGGGAAAGAATGGAAATTCCGGACCAGGTCAGAGAAATCTTCCTCACCCAACAACCCACGCCAGGGGATGCTCGGGTAACCCAACAGAGCCTCGCTAAGGCTCCAGGGAGACTACCGCGAAGGGCGGGCGCCTGCCCCAGCTAGATAGCAGGGGAAGTGCCAGCCGCTCTCACATTCCTGACTCCACAAGGGCTTCACCAGGGCCTTGTTGGAGGACCTGGCCCCAGAAACCGAGTGGCGTCCAACAGATGTGCCCAATGGCACTCCCAAGAAGGTATGGCATCGGCTGCGTCCCAGGCCAGGGTCACCGCCAGCACCCCACGTCCCGCCGGTTTCCCGTATACTCTAATCCATATCCCAGTGTAACCGTGGGAGCCAGCAAACAGGAGCTCTAACGCAGGGCCTAGCGTCTCCTACAATCCTGGGTCGGCTCTCCCACCATCCTCGTTCCCCAAACCCGGAAGTGGCCTATCTCTCCCTGCCTCCCCCAGCCCCACCCGCGCTCTGCTGGGCAACGATTGGGGTTCTGCCCCTGGCCCCCAGACTCTCCGCCCAGTCACCTGCCGTGAGCTCCCGCAGTAGAGACAGCAGTTGCAGCAGCAGCAGCATTGTCCGCGGCGGCGTCCAGACGTGCGCGCTCCCGACGACCGCCAGCCGGTGTCCGCCAGCCTTGCGCGCGTCCCTAGGGCGTCGATTTCCCCGGAGTCGGTCTGCAGCTGTGGGGTCGGTGGTCTGGCGCCAACCGGGGAGAGCGAGAGAGCTCAGCTTTGGGAAGGCAGCGCATCAGCGACCTCAGCCCGCCTCGCTCAGCTGGAGTTCCAGCCCCGCCCCTTCAGCCTCGGGCTCCGGCTCCCACGGCCATTGTCACAGCTTCCCCCACTCCCCCGCGTTGTCCCCCACAGCTCCTCGACGGTCCCCTTTATATATACATAGGAAAACCAATCGTGTTGGTAATTGGCCAGTGAGGATCACCTGGTTTCAAGGGTGTTTAAAGGTCAGAGGACTTCTGCCACTCCTGCTACACCGTGTGCCCATAGTAACCTGAAAGTGGAACTGGGGGTGCAGCACCTGCAGCATCAGGAGGATGTGTCCAGACGTGCAGAGAAGCATGGCTCTGATCACTTCCAACTGGAGGACAGCAGTACAGCATCAACAACAGCCTGGACATGAGGGTACTCTGGCTGGAAGTTCTGGAGAGGGGAGGGGCAGGGAGCCTGGCCTCCTCAGGTTCTTGCCTGCCCTGTTCTGCAATCCCACATCCCTCCCTCTTCTTTCTTCTCTTTCTCTTCCTCCACTTTCCACCCTGGGATCTATAGAGAGGTTCCTACAGGCCTGCGTGTGTCACTAGGCAGGTATATCTCAGCCCCTCCTTGGATACAGTCTCCACTGTCGCTCACTTCTAGTAGCTGAGTCTGGTGTCTGGAGACTCCTACCAGGTCATGTCTCCATGTACTCTGTATCTTGGGTCAGCTCTTTCCTGTCTAGTAGTCATCCAAGCATGATATCTTGAGGGAAGGAGCCAAGAGCTCAGGCTTTAAAATGGTTTCTTCTACATCTTGGTGAGTGTGTGCATATATGCACGGTCACCTATGCTGATGGAGAACTGGAGTGGAGCAGAAGAAATGAAGTTAAGGTGAGGCAGAGACTGGAGGGGCTACCCTGGAGCTTTACTCCCCACTCCCATAAACTGGAAAATGGGGGGCTGGATTAGGAGAAACCACTTCCAGAGCCAGACTATTTTCTGAGTTCCTGACCCCTATTAAGGCTGTGGCCCACATGCCAGGTTAAAGGAGGAGTGAGGAGTTAGAGCTGGCTGCTCAAATAACCAACATCATTCATTACAGCTTCAGTATAGTTGGAAACAAACCCAAAGTACATCTGTGGAGGCTGGCTGCATATGTAATGACACATTATGGATGTAGGTACAGTATTATTTGTCATGAAACAATGAGAATGCTCTATGTATGGACATGGAAAGATCTCCATCAATTGTGAGAATGAGTGTCTGTTATGTTACTTCTTCTGGGCAAAAATAAGAATTCCTATTTATTTTCTTTTTTTTTTTTTTAATTTTTTTTTTCAACGTTTTATTTTATTTTTGGGACAGAGAGAGAGCATGAACGGGGGAGGGGCAGAGAGAGAGGGAGACACAGAATTGGAAACAGGCTCCAGGCTCTGAGCCATCAGCCCAGAACCCGACACGTGGCTTGAACTCCCGGACCGCGAGATCGTGACCTGGCTGAAGTCCGACGCTTAACCGACTGCGCCACCCAGGCGCCCCATATTTATTTTCTTATATATGCATAAGGGAATTATATAAGATATTTGGACAAGAAATTAAAGCCAACATACAAAGTAGACTTATACCATATTCACAGATCAGAAGCTTCACTAGCTGTCAGTTCTCCTCAAGTATTCCTTTAAAAATATGTCCTCTAATTTTATTTTTTTACTCTTTTAAATTTGAGTATAATCAGACAATGCTTTTTAGTTTCAGAGGTACAACATAGTGATTCGACAAGTTTTTATATTATGCTATATTCCCCGCAAGTCCTCACACATTGCTATTACAATATCACTGAATTTATTCCTTATGCTGTGCCTTTTATTCCTGCAACTCATTCATTTTATAACTAGAAGTCTGTATCTCCCTCTCCCCTTCACCCATTTTGTTCAACCTCCTACCCCCTGTCCCTCTGGCAACCATCAGTTTGTTTATGTATTTATAGGTTTGATTCTACTTTTTATCTGTTTATTTATCTTTATTTTTTAATTCTTTATTTTTTTTTTTTTTTTGGAAAGAGAGAACGAGTGCACGAGTTAGGAAGAAGGGCAGAGGGAGAGAGAGAGAGAGAATCTTAAGCTCAGCCCAGAGCCCAATGCCAGGCTTGATCCCACAACCCTGGGATCATGACCTGAGACAAAATCAAGAGTCAGATGCTCAACTAACCGAGCCATTCAGCTGCCCCCTATTCATTTTTTTTCAGATTCCACTTATGAGTGAAATCCTATGGTATGTGTTTCTCAGTCTAACTTATTTCACTTAGCATAACACCCTTTAGGTCTATCCATGTTGTCTCAAATAGTTAATTCTCCTGTTTTATTTTATGGATTCAATTCGATATCAATCAAAACCACAGCAGGATGTATGTACGTATGCATTATTTTTATTTTATTTATTTTTTATTTCAAGTTTTAATTTAAATTCCAGTTAGTTAACATATAATGTAGTATTAGATTCAGACATAGAATTCAGTGATTCATCACTTACATACAACACCCATTGCTCATCACAAGCATCCTCCTTAATACCTATCACTCCTTTAGGGGCATTTAATCCATTCACAATGTTATGCAACCTCTATTTAGTTCTAAACAATTTCACCGGAAATGTTCCAAAACATTTCCATCACCTGAAAAGGAAACCCTGTACCCAGTTGCAACTGTTAAACAGTTGCTCCTACTTTCTGCCTCCCCTTGACACTGGTGACCGCTTGTATTTTTTTCCTGTGACTGCTTTAAACAGAGGACCACAATTTGGGTGTCTTAAAACATGAGGAATTTATCCTCTCACAGTCCTGAAGGCCAGAAGTCTGAAATCAAAGTGTTGGCAGAGCCATGATCCTTCCAAAGGCTCTAGGGGAGAATCTTTCCTTGCCTCTTCCAGCTTCCTTGGTTTATGGCAGGCTCATTCCAATCTTTGCTTTACCTCTGTCTTCATGTGGCTACCTTCCCTCTGTGTCTCTTCTCTTTTTATAAAGATACCCATTACTGAATTAGGGCCCACTCTAGTTCAGTACATCAGCAAAGACCTAATCTCCAAATAAAGTTACATTCACAGGCACTGGGGCTTAGGGCTTCAGCATATCTATTTGGGAACACTATTCAACCCATTCTACCACCAATATGAATTCTATCTGTGGATTTACCTATTTGGGGTATAAGATTTCTGCACCCTACAGGCTAATTATAAAGTTACCACTCATCCTGGAATGAAAAGCCACTGTACTTTGAACTCCTAGTTTGCTCCAATGGACTTTGCTTTTATAACAGCTCCTCCCACCTTCCCCTTTTTCTCTGTAAAAGAGCAGCTCTCTCCTTTGTTCTCCAGACTTGCCTATGGTTTTGCCATAGCTTGCTTGTCCTAAATTGTTATTCTTTGCTATTCCCCAATAACCCATTTTTTGCTGATAAAATAACTGACAGTTTTATCTTTAAGGATAACAGCTTTTTACTAAGTCAAGTCCCATTCCTGTTCCATCCCTTCATCCTACTCTCCTCCCACACAATGGCATTTGTCTGCTTTGACATGTATCATTAAATTCATTTGTATCTTTGATAAGTCTGTGTTGCAGTTTATATTTTTATTTTATTTTAAAATTTTTTTATTTTATTTTATTTAAAAAAATTTTTTTTTTCCAACGTTTATTTATTTCTGGGACAGAGGGAGACAGAGCATGAACGGGGGAGGGGCAGAGAGAGAGGGAGACACAGAATCGGAAACAGGCTCCAGGCTCTGAGCCATCAGCCAAGAGCCTGACGCGGGGCTCGAACTCACAGACCGCGAGATCGTGGCCCCTATTTTATTTTATTTTAAATGTTTATTTATTTGAATATATTTTTATTTTATTTTATTTTAAATGTTTATTTATTTGAAAGAGAGAGAGAGAGAGAGAGAGAGAGAGAGAGAGAGAAGAGAATCCCAAGCAAGCTCCACACTATACAGAGCCTAACTCAGGGCTCTACCCCACCAACCATGAGATCATGATCTGAGCTGAAATCGAGTCTGATGCTTAACTGAGCCCCCCAGGTGCCCCATGTTTTTATTTTAAATTTACACAACTAGTATTATTCTCTGGAACAGGTTCTTTTTTAATTTTTCTCTTATAATCTGTACATGCCCATTTTGCCATGAGGACAGTGGGAACAGAGAATTACAAAATTGAGTTATAATTGCAAGGGGGTCCCAAAATGGAGCTGGGAGGTCATTGGAAACACAGAGCTTATGCACATCCACACCCTGATGGAAACTGAACTCTCACACTTGGGCCTTAACCACTTAACCATATCCTGGAACATTTCTATGTATTAGATAGCTTAAACTTTGTCAGCATCAATCATAATTCTTTCAAAAACAGTTTATATAACCTTGCAGTTTTGGCCTTTATAACCCCTAATTTCTTCCCCAAATTGGAACATGCATTCAATTCCTCTTGAATCTGTGTCTCCTGGAATTGCAACTCCTAAGACCCCCAAAAAAGTGCATTGTTAGTTCTTATAGCCTCAATCTGAAATTTGTTAACAATAGATACCTACATGGTATTCCACTGTGGATCTCCCTGCATCATCTCCCCTCACACATGGCCTCCTCACTTTTCTCATCTTTGATAGGCATAGATGAGTGCCCCACTTTTGTTTTAGTTTCCATTTTTCCTCATGACACTTGATTTTGAGAAATCTTTCATATATCTGTTGGCCTTTTAAGTTTCTCCTTGTGTGAATTGCGTCTTCATAGTCTTTATTTTTCCATAGTACTTCCTGTTCATTTCTCCTCAAGTTGTATAATATATTCTGGCCATTGGCAGTTGTTTTAAATATCTTTTTCTCATCTGTCCTCTTCTGCGTGTATACGGTGACTGTCATTAAGGAGGAAACTTGAGTTTTGATGTCATCAAAGCTAATTATTTTCTTCTATGTTTTTGCTTTAGGGATTAAAAAATATCATCTATTTTATTATTAATTTTTTAATAAAACTTTACTTTGAAATAACTGTAGATTCATTTCTTGTGCTTTTAAATTTTTTTTCCAACGTTTTTTTATTTTTATTTTTGGGACAGAGAGAGACAGAGCATGAACGGGGGAGGGGCAGAGAGAGAGGGAGACACAGAATCGGAAACCGGCTCCAGGCTCCGAGCCATCGGCCCAGAGCCTGACGCGGGGCTCGAACTCACGGACCGTGAGATCATGACCTGGCTGAAGTCGGACACTTAACCGACTGCGCCACCCAGGCGCCCCTCTTGTGCTTTTAATTTTAGCTATTCTGACAGGTGTGTGGTGATATCTCATAGTAGTTTTGATTTACATTTCTATGATGTTGAGTGATATTGAGCATCTTTTCATGTATCTGTTGGCCATCTGTAATGCCTTCTTTGGAAAAATGTCTATTCAAGTCCTATACTCAGTTTTTATTTAAAAAATTTTTAAATTATTTTTTTTTCTTTTTCAAATTTTTGTTTATATTCTAGTTAGTTAACATATAGTGTAATATTGATTTTAGGACTAGAATTTAGTGATTCATCACTTACATATAGCACCCAGTGGTCATCAAAGTGCCCTCCTTTATACCCATTACCTATCTAGACCATCCCCCATCCACCTCCCTTCATCAACCCTCAGTTTTTTCTCTATCGTTAAAAGTCTCATGGTTTGTTTCCCTCTCTCTTGTTTTTCCTTTCCATATGGTTTGTCTGTTTTGTATTTTAAATTCCACATAGAGTGAAATCATATGGTATTTGTCTTTCTCTGACTGACTTATTTTGCTTAGCATAATACACTCTAGTTCCATCCATGTTGTTGCAAATGTCAATATTTAATTCTTTTTGATGGCTGAGTAATATTCCAT